ATACACGCTACCGGTGCGACGGATTTTTATTGCACCCCTCGAGCTACCACATGTCTATAATTGTCTCTGACCACAGTTAAAAATGGTCTCTCAACTTTTTTACCTCGTTTAGCTTCTTCCTATATGGATTAATTTGAGGGGATATGTTAATAATTTTTATCCTTGTATATAATGACGTTAATTAGCAACAATCAATTGCAAGAGCTGCTTTGTATTGCTGGATTAACCGCGGACTTTTTTTACTTCTTTGTTTTTTATTTCTGCATAATCATCCTTAAACGCGACGCGATAACCATTGATCACCGGCTATCTAGCTATCATCCAAGATGCATTAAGGATTTTATTCTTGCGTCTCTTCGGCATGTACGCTGCGCTTTGTCAGAAGATAGCGGGCCGAGTATCTCCGCGCGGGGAGAGGGACGACAAACGCGAAGTGGGATTGGAAAAGGACGAAAACGTGTTGGCCGGTGGTAGAAAACGAGCAAGAGGGATCGTCCAGGATAATGAGAAAAAAATCGCAGCGAAATCGGGTAGGTGGAGGAGATGGGAGACGGGAAGGGGAGAAGAGAGGCCCCATCCATGCACCGTTGCGCTCGACTGTCCGACTGTCCGTCCCGCGTACGTCCTGGACGGACCCGTCGGCCCCTGGGACCAAAGGGATGGACGGATCGCAGATTACGTGCATTTCAGATTCACTCGTATATGCGGTGCGCAGCGACTCGTATTTCCCGGCGCGGTAATAAATTACGATCGCAATCGTCGTGTACGCGCACGCATTGTCGGTCACGCTGGACGACGACGCGACGACGGACGTACGCGAGCAGCCGTCTTTAAGGCCTCTCTCTGTCGCGCTGGCTGCCGATGAGGGCCCTCCATTCATTCCTGGCCTCGCCGGCGAGAGACTCTTCTCCGCGTCATCGTGAATTAATGGCGATTAATTAATTATTCGACGCGGCCACCTTGACCTTCGCGGATCCTTCTCGATTGGGACGATCTTGATTGAGCGAAGGATTCGACGGCAGCATTCGGATTTTTATTTTCTTTATTTGATTTATGTATAATCTGATTTCGTTTAATCTTTCTGCTGTCTCTCTCTCTCTCTCT